GGCCTATTTTTAACTTGGCTACCTGTTGTTTTCCTGACTCACAGGAATTCTTGGTAGGTATTGCAAATAGGAAGAAGCGCCTTGTTGGATTTTGGGTTGCCAGTGTCTCTCCCAGTCCATGCCTGTCTTGATGGGTTTGGGCTGCTCTAATGGGCTGTACCACGGGCTGGGTGGTTTATAAAGAACAGATGTGTACCTCTCACAGTTCTGGAGGCTAGAGGCCCAAGATCAAGGCGCCAGCAGGTTGGGTGTCTGGTGAGCGTCCGCTTGTTGGTTCATAGATGGCGTCAGGTGGAGAGGGCAAGGGAGCTCTCCGGGGTCCCCTCTGTGAAGGTGCTGATCCATGCATGAGGCCACGCTCATGACCTGATCACCTCCCAGTGGACCCCACCCCTTAACACCATTCAACATAGGGACTTTGGAAGGACACATTCAGTCTATAAAAGTGCCTTTTTTTTTCTTTCTCTCTTAATGTTGTCTTTTTATGGACAATTTCTAAAGTTTTGCTTTTTATAGTTAGTGCTTTTTATATATTACTTAAAGAATATTTCTCAGGCTTCTGGTTGGTTCAGTCAGTTAAGTATCTGTCTTTGACTCAGGTCATGATCTCAGGGTCCTGGGATCGAGCCCTGCATTGGGCTCCCTGCTCCGCGGGGAGTCTGCCTCTCCCTCTCCCCTCCCTCCTGCTCATGTTCCCTCTCTTGTGCTCTCTTTCTCAAATAAATAAATAAAATCTTTTAAAAAAATATTTCTCTACCTCAAGATTATGGAGAGATTCTTTGTTTTAGGAAGCTTTAATATTTGTTATCTTTAACATTTAAGTCCATGATTGGACTAGAATTGACCATAGGGAGCAAAATCTTGATATTTTTCTTTTTTCCTTAGGGAAAAAATTAAAAGCAGCACAGAAATCATAGTTTTTTCTTTTGTTTTGTTTTGTTTTGTTTTTTCATTTCTGATTTCAGGTCTATTTTTTTTATTTTTTTTTCAGGTCTATTTTTAAATTTTATTTTATTGGTAAACGTTTTAGTAATTCTTTGAACTCTGACAGAAGGTATTCCTTTTGACTTCTTTCCATTGTTCAGGTCCTGGCAAGTTTAGGTAATTATTGATTTATAATTATCTGTATTATTAATATAATGGCAGTGTATTATTTAAAACTGCCAGTGAGGGCGTAACTGGGTGATGGGCAGTAAGGAGGGCACTTGATGTAATGAGCACTGAGTGTTAGAAGCACTTGATGAATCTCTAAACTCTACCTCTGAATCCAACAATACACCATAAGTTAATTTAATTGAATTTAAATAAGATTAAAAAAACAAAAATAAAACTGACAGTGGTTTTATATTTAGTAAGTCTTAGGCTAGAAGTAACATGTAAATATGTGAATCTCTGCTTACCAAGTTAACAAAAATTTTCAAAAACTTTTTTTTTAATTTTATTTATTTGTTCATGAGAGACACAGGCAGAGGGAGAAGCAGGCTCCATGCAGGGAGCCCGATGTGGGACTCCATCCCAGGACCCCGGGGTCTCGCCGTGAGCCACCCGGGCGTCCCCCGCAAACTCTTCTTCCATTTATTTGGGTCCCTAATCGTTTTTATGATTTTTTTTACGATTTTTTTTATGATTTTTTTTTAAACACAATTTCAGGTGTTTGGATAGTCTCTGCATTAGTGACGCTAACTCCTGTGAGACCCTGCACTTTTCATGTCCTTTCTCCAGTGTTTTCTTACACTTTGTGCTGCAAAGAGAATGACCAGTGTCGCCGGTGGGTGATGGACTCTTGTGTCCCTGCCCAGGCCCAGACTATTCTCTCTCACTTACTGCGAATGGCTTTACTTCGTGTTCTGGCAGGCGCCTCCCGGTGGTCCTGTTGGGGCAGCATCTCTCCTGGTATTTGTGTTCCGGAACCACTAAGCTGGTGCGTGGTCACTAGTACAATGGGAACTAACCGGATTCAGATTTCTACTTACGCTGTTGCTTGAGATCTTTCACTTCTGTCCCATCTCACTCTTGTCAGTTTTCTCAGTGGTCTCATGTCCTTGGGTTTCAGTGCCGTCAAGACAGGAGGTTTCCTGGGGGCGCCTGGGTGGCTCAGTCAGGTGGACGTCAGACCCTTGGCTTCGGCTCAGGTCACCATCTCAGAGCCGTGGGTTCGAGCCCTGCATCTGGCCCCACGCTCCGTGCAGAGTCGGCTCGGGATTGTGTCTCTGCCTCCCCCTCGGCCTCTCCCCCTGCTCCCTCACACACTCTCTCAAATAAATAAATCTTTAAACAAACAACAAAAAAAGAGATGTTTCCTTAGCTTAATTTGTTTTCTCTATCCCTGGGGTCTGTAAACCATGGTCAACATCTCACCCACAGGCCCAGTCCCATCAGCTGCTTTATTTTAAATGGTCACATTTCAGGTGGTTAATAAGCACCTGCATAGTAGCCTTAATTTCCCTCTTGGCCCTCAAAGCCTAAAGAGCTTACCGTCTGGCACTTTTTACCCTTTTTTCCTGAGTCACTCTCTCAGCAGGGGCTCTCCTCCACTTGGGCAGGTCCGTTTGTCGTGACAATCCACAACAGTCCAAGCAGGGCCCCGTGGGACCAGGGACAGCAGCATCTGTGCCCCTCTCCAGGTGTAACTTGGAATTATAAGAGTCTTTGCCCATTATTTCAACCTCCAGTGTCTTTCTTATATTATGTTCTATTCACTTGGCTTTTGAAAAATACTCATTTAAGTGTAGATATTACATACAGTGTATTTTGAGAACTGAATGGGCACTTTGGTGTTTCATTAGCTACTATGTGGCCACTTGTGTTGGTAACTGTCCCGCAAGGCCTGGGGAAGGAAGGCACATTTGTGTTCCCGCCTCTGGCCCCTTCCCAAACCTTGCCAGGTGGTCGGCAGTATCTAAACTTCATAGGGAGGCAGCTGCTCCAGAATCACATAGCCAGGAGGTAGGTTGGTGACAGGTTATTGAACATTTCCTAGAGGAATGTAAAGAAAGGGGCCTAGAGCCCAAATCCTAGATACTGAAGGTTTATCTTCAGTTATCAGTTCAGCACTGAAATGGTAGCTTCTTGTAGAAATTGAGAGGGAGGGGCACGTGGGTGGCTCAGCGGTTGAGCACCTGCCTTCAGCTCAGGGCGTGACCCCGGGGTCCCGGGATCGAGTCCTGCGTCGGGGGTCCCCGCAGGGAGCCTGCTTCTCCCTCTGCCTGTGTCTCTGCCCCTCTCTCTCTCTGTCTCTCATGCATAAATAAAATCTTTAAAAACAAAAGAAAAAAAAAGAAATTGAGAGGGAATGTGTCTGCTGTTACTAGCATCTAACTGGTTCTCATTGCCCCCGTGTTTTTCGAGTTTCCCCATTGATCCTCTGCACTTCTGGCAAAATGTGAGTGCGGTGAGGCCCTGTACCATAGACTCGTCTCGCGGGCATCTCACAGGGCACATTGTGCAGGCCTCACGGTGATGGGCTTTTGCTCTTGTATTTTCCCTTTTTTTGGTACTTCGTTTACAGCCTGTCAGCTCTCGAGGGCAGGGACTGGATTCTGCATTGCGTTGAATATCCGGTGCTTGGCTTAGTGCCTGGCCATGGTGGGTACCCAATTAGCATGTGTCAAATAAATAGATGAATTGCAGGTTTGAGACTCATCACAGCGTAGTGGAGCACTCAGACTGGAATTCAATTTCCCATGTTGTATCTCCAGCTTCCTATTAACTGCGATTTCTGTCAGGCTCCGTGGGCCTCTGCTCATCATCTGTTACAGTGAGGGGCTTGTTAAGGGGTCTGATGCGATCTTTTTAGATCTATAATTTGTATATTGTCGACTTCTGATTCTTCTGTGGGAAAATTGGCCCCCCTTCTCCATCTAGCTTTTTTTAAGATTTTATTTATTCATGAGAGAGGCAGAGACACAGGCAGAGGGAGGAGCAGGCTCCCTGTGGGGAGCCCGACGTGGGACTCGATCCCAGGACCCCGGGGTCACGACCTGAGCAAAGGCAGATGCTCGACCCCTGAGCCGCCCAGGTGTCCCGCTGTCCAGCTTTCCTAGGTGTGTCCCGCATCTCCAGATTAAAGATGCATTTACTGTGAACTACTGCCTACATCCAGCTGTCAGTGTATAGTTCCCAGAGTCAGTTTAGAAAGATAATTTAGGAACAGGATCTCATGACCCTACAACTTGGGCTTTGACAACCCCCATTTTCTGGCGCGGCGGCCGTGGTCCACCGGGGTGGACGCATCGGCCCAGCCTGCTCTGGTCCCTTATAAGGAAGGAAGCCTAATGGTGTTTTCGTTTTAGTAGGGCGCTGTCTGCATTGTGTTCAAGAGCACAGACTTGGGAGTCACGTTCCCTTGGCCCTAACCCTCAGGGCGCCATTAACGTCTTTGTGACTCACTTGTTGAAACTATGAAACGGGGCCAGTGATACACCTAGCTTGTTGCGTTACCTGGTGCGAAGTGCTGGCACGGTGCCCGGATTGTGGCACCGTGCCACAATAGAAATGATTTGCTGTTATCCACACTACTGATTTCCGAGCTCTTTCCTCCCCAAACCGTCTTGCCTTTGCCATCGTCAAACACTGTTGCCATCTGGTTGTGGGTCTCGCTCCCCTGTGACTTGCAGCTCTTTAAGGGCAGGACCTACGTGTTGCCATTATGTCCTCAGGGCCTAATGCAGGGTTTAGTCCACTTGTATTTGTTGAACTTGGCTGCAGATGGTGAGTGACGCCTGTGTAGTCTTGGGTGACTTGGAGGTACCGCTGTGCTGTGCCCTGTCACGAGGCTGCGGCCATCTCTCCGTTACCCTCGCAGCAAAGTCCGTACTCAGATTTACAAAGAGGATGCAGAACAAGGCTGCGTGCGTGTGTGTATTTGTGTACCTCTGCATGTGTGTCTATACACACAAGTGCATGTGCCCCGAGTACTTTACGCAGTAGAGGTGAGGAGTAGCATGTGCACATGTTCAGAATCGTGCAGCTGGAATCGGTGCTTTCTCTTTTCCCCTCAGGATTTGACAGGATCTGAACTCTATGCCCAGGCAGCCAGCCTGCTGCACCCCGTGGTTTATACGACCGCCGTCATCCTCCTCTTAAGCCTCTTGGCAGTCATCGTCAGCTACATATACCATCACAGGTAAGAAGGGAAACTTGGCCAACGGGGGACTTTGACCGGAAGAAGTTTATTTCACATCGAACGAGGATAAAACCGAGTTTCACACCATGCTGTCTTCCCAAAGTAAGAGCGGTTACTCTAGAATACATACGAGCCTCCTTCGTGTCGTGCAGTTGGAGACATAAGCCCAGGAGATGGTAAATTCACCTCCTACAGCATCCAGTCTGCTCGTGGGGCATGGGGGCCGCAGGGGGTGAGGTGAGCTGGGGACTTGTTACCTGCGGACGTGTCTTCCAGAAGCGGACTCGGCTGATCTTTCGGTTTTATGACTTTGTGCGTGTTGTGATATTCTTTATTTTATAGATGGCCCTTGTAAGACAGTCTGTGGCATTTAAACATGAGTATAGTTTCTGTTAATTGGAGGCAGAGCTACAGAAACTTTTATTTTATGGTCGGCAATAATGAACTAGAAGGATTTGCTAAACAGAAATTCACTGTACAAGAGGTTCTGCTAGAAGGTATTTTCCTATTTAAGCTGGACCTAGGTGGCGTTTCTTGACATTTAGTTAAGAAACAAAAGGAGGTTTTTGATATTAAAAGAAAGAGAGACTTCAATGTTTTGTTATGAAAGGCCAGGGAGAAACTGTTCTGGGCATTTAGACCACGTTACCCTAGTAGGTCAGGAAAAGCAGAGATTGGCACCTTGCGGAAACCCCTTGGAAGCAAACAAGTAGTCCAGCTGTCCTAAGATGTCACGACGAACAGCAGCCCGGATATTTCTTATTATGGAGAATTTGTTTAGCCTTTAGTTGGGTGCAATAGTTTCATAAATGACTTGTCTTTTTTTAGTGCATCGAGTAAAATGTTAAGAAACTGTGTTGAGTGAAATAATGTCTTGAACCCTGTGTGTGTGTGTGTGTGTGTGTGTCTGATAGTGCATGTATTTTAAATGAAATGTTTAAGCATAAAACATTTACGTTTGGCCTTTTATGCAGCTGGAATTGCTAACTTGTGGATGAATATCATCCGGCTTCACATGGACCAGCCTGAATATTAATATTTTTTTTCCCTTTTAACAGTTTGATTAGAATCAGTCTCAAGGGCTGGCATATGCTTGTGAACTTGTGCTTTCATATCTTCCTGACCTGTGTGGTCTTCGTGGGAGGAATAACCCAAACCAGAAATGCCAGCGTCTGCCAAGCGGTAAGTCAGAGTGGAAAACTGAAATGGGAAAAAATAATGATATTAGAAAGTAATTTCATGTTTTATTAACTGTAAAAGGAAGCCTGTTTTCTAAAGTCGCTTTTCTTTTTCAACCGAGCATCTCACTTTTACACATTTTTACCGATATGCTTCAGGTTTTGAACTATTATTTCACAACCAAACACGTGACTGAGGGAGCTTGTCTCATTATCCTTGGGAATTCATTGCTTCTTGTTCTGTCTTTTAGAATGCCGAACCCTTAATTAAAAAAATTGGTAGAAACCTGACGTCAGCTAAGAGAGAAGTGATACTTTCTGACAGTAGGGTCTTAAAAATTACTTCATTTATTTATGGAAACAACAGGAATTTGTGAAGGATTTAACTGTAAGATATAAAAGCCAGAAACCTCTCACATGTGCTAAATATGAAATATCAAAGAATATTCAACTTTAATTTCAAATAAATTATTACACGTGTAGCCTTAGTGAACAGTATTCTTCTGGGTTATGTATTTAAAAATCCAAATCATTCAACACATGAATAGACATAAATCAGTGTGCGTATTTCCTAAATGTGCGTATTGTTTTCCATATGCATGTCAGGAAGTGGTGCCATGTAGTAATTGAGTTCAAACTGCCTGGATTTGGGTCTCAGGTCTACTTTACTGTTTTTATGGGTAATTTATTTAACTTTAGTTTTAATTGCCAAAAAATTAAAATAAAATAACAGAAGATTTACCCTCCACAGACTTTTTGAGTGTATGGTTTAATATTAAATAGAAAAAAAAAGATATTAAATAGAAGTACAGTGCTGTACAGCGGATTTCTGGAACTTTCTCTTCTTGCATGACTAAACACTCTGCTAAACAGCAACTTGCCATCCCCCTCCCCTCCCAGCTCTGAGCAGCCACTGTTTTACGGTCTGTCTCTGTGACGTTGACTATTTAGATACCCCATCTGAGTGTAATCGTGCAGCGTTTATCATTCTGCGACTGGCTTCTTTCACTGAGCATAAAGTCCTCAAGGTTCACCCGTGTCGTTGCATCGGATGGGATTTCCTTCCTTCTATGTGGCTGAATAGTATTCCACTGTATGAATACATCACCTTTTCTTTATCCGTTTATCTGTTGCTGGACATTTATTTGGTTGCTTCTATCTCTTGGCTGCTGCGAATAATGCTACCGTGAACATAGGGGTGCAGATACTTCTTTGAGATCCTGTCATTTGTGTTTCACTTTGTGTCTCAACTTTCTCACCCATAAATGGGGAATAATATTTGAGTTGTTGACAGATGACATGATCATTTATGTCAAAAAGAAAATCCTACAGTAATTTATAGATAAATTATTTGAAGTAATTGGAAGGTGTAGCCAAGGGTGAACCTAAGCTTAATGCACAGAAGTTTGATGCAAGCATGCAGAAATGCAACTACGAGAAAACCTAAGTAATGTGAAGGTGCCATGTATATAGCATCAAAGAACATCAGGTACCAAGAAATAATGAAAGATGTTCACAATTTACAGGCAAAATCGGAATAGGTCTTTAAGAAGACCTAAATACAAAAATTAAAAAATTAAAAAAATAAAAAAAAGAAGACCTAAATGCATGGTAGGTGTACTCGGCCCAAGGATACGAAGTGTCAATATCAGAAAGATGGCAGTTTCTCTGAAATTAATGTGCACATAAGAAGAGAATTTTTCACGGCACACAATAAAATCGTCTTTAAATTTACATTAAAAGCCAAGGACCAAAGATAAAGATAGCCAGGACACGTCTGCAAGGGAAGAGTAGAACAAGGAACACGGTCCTTCTAATCATCACAATTTAGGAGGTTTTCGTCATTAACTCTGTGGCATCTGGTGTGGAGAGAGACCTGACCAGCACAGCAGAACAGAGACTCAGAAGCAGACCCATGTGGAACTTCGGTGTGAGACGGAAGTTTGCATGCCTCATCACTTGGGGGAAGAGGGCCCTCTGTGCAGTAAAAAGATGCTGGGGAAAATCCACGCATAGGAACCTTAGAGTGGACCTGTACCTCAGGCCTTATGAAAAGTGTCAACCGTGCATGGACTAAAAACCTAACATGGCCAAGCCAAAATGTTAAAGTTTGTATTAGAAAATATCACAGTCCTTGGGTAAGGGGTCCCTTTTTTTCATAAAGATGCCATTTATTTATTTGAGAGTGAGAGAGAGAGCATGAGAGGGGTGAGGGACAGAAGGAGAGGCGGGCTCTCCGCTGAGTCAGGAGCCTGAGGCAGGGCTGGATCCCAGGACCCTGGAATCATGACCTGAGCTGAAGGCAGACGCTTCACCAACGGAACCACCCTGGTGCCCCGGGATAGGGATTTTTTTTTTTTTTTTTTTTTTTTTATGGGATAGGGATTTCTTAAATGGAACACTAAAAGGCATTGACTAGAAGAGAGACAATTTTAACTAAATTAAAAATAAGAGCTTTTGTTAATTAAGGTTCCTTAATGAAAGTAGAAAGACAAGCAAATTGGAAGACGCTCTTCTTAATACGTATCATTGGAAGGGCAGTGGAATAAAAAAAATCAATTAAGAACTATAATCAATGAGAATGACACAAACAACCCAGGAGAAACAGTGGTGAGCATGGACAGTGGTGAGCGTAGTGTCCACAGAGTCCGTGCACATGGGAAGAGGTGCTCAGCGTGGTTGGCGGTCATGGAGATTGAAATGACGACAGTGGGGTTCCACTCATGCCTTTGCTGTCAGCAGAAATCAGTCCTGACCAACATGTGGATGCACGTGGTTACACACCGTGGGTGGGAATGTAAGCGGATGATTCTGGGCGGCTCTGCAGCCTGAGGTCAAACGTGCCTAGACTCTGGGACCCAGCAGCCCCACTCCGCACTCCGAGGGTGCGCTCGCCCGTGCACATGAATATTCAGAGCAGCGCTGTGCACAACAGAAAAAGTCCTGGAAGCAACCCAAATGCCCGTCGGTGACAGAGTGAATGAATAAACTGTGATATTATGCAACAGTCAAAACTAATGAATTACAACAATGTGTAACAATATGAGTAAGTCTTAGGAATATATGTGAAAAAATTAAGTCCCATAAATTACGCCCAACCTGCTGTCCTTTTTTTTTTATATATATATAAAGCAAGAAGTAACTAAAATGAAACCGTTCGCTTTTAATGAAAATAATGCAGATCCAGTAAAACTGTAGAAGGAAGACAGAGGGATGATAAACATAAGATAAAGAGGGACGATTACCTTGGGTGAAGGGGACTCTATTGTTTGATACAGGTTTTGGTCAAGGTCTTACCTTCTGTCTTGCTGAGAGATTCTCAGGCACTTAGGAATAACGACTGATTAAATAAAATCAGAGTGTGCTTGGTCTAGTCACCAGAATGTGTCCTAAACCTAAGGTTGGCAATCCAGTATTGTAGTGCTGACATCCAGCTCAAACTGCAGGTGGGCGTAAGAATCGTGGAGAGGATTAAGGCACTCAGGAGACCTGGTATACAGTAAGTGCTCAATAGATACTAGCTATTACCGCTCCTACTGTCACTATTGACAAAATTACCTCTCAGCTGTGCAGAATATTTCTGTTGCAGGCCATTGGTATACACGGGGAAGCAAACTGGATTGGAGCCTATGAGAGGTCAGGTAATGGGTCTGGAGTCCACTGCCTCTACGCACAGAAGAGAACACGCACTGGTCGTGTTCTCTGAGTTCCTCCCCACCCCGCCCCCCATTTTGATTCCCACTCATCTTGTTTGTAGGTCTCAGTTTACTGTTAACCGTTGGGGAGATGCTGTCCCTCCCCTCCCTTCATTATCTTGTGGTGCTTGTGACATCTCCACGATGCCTACCACACTTTGCATTTGACTGGTGTTTCCGTATTTGCCGTCTCTGGACCCGACGCTCCACAGGGGCAGGAATCCCATTGATCTGATTGACCCGTGTTTATCCAAGGATCAGCAATTGGGACTTGACCCAGAGTAGGTGATACTAGATGCCTAACAAATATTTATTGGGTGAATGAACAAAAAGGGCCCCCGATTCACAAATAGTGGGAATCACTGGACCCTGGCGCCATTTTGAGCAGAGGCTATGAGGACAGTGCTCTGCACAGTGGCGGTGGTGGTAGCCTCAGTTTTGTGTAAAAGTATTCCTTGTTTTCACGAACCAGACACATTTATTTCCTTAGGAAATGAATAGAAAGAGGCCGTTGTGAAGATGACTGCCTTTCACTGTCCTGAATGATACACGTGTTCTAGAAAGAAAAGGAGAGGAATTAGTGCAGCGTTCAGGGCCTCTACGTTGAATGTCCGTGACTTAAAGATTTTTTTTTTTTTAAAGGAAAAGGCAAGTCTTGAGATGTTTTCACACGGCATTAGCTTCTGTTTTTACAATGTTCTCCCGTTCCTCTATGAAAGACATAACATTCTCGCCGTTTCTGACTCAGGCATGACTGGCTTCACTGTGCCGTCGTGATAGTTCAGTTGGGAGCCAGCCGACGGGGGCGCTGGTGGAAGGCAGGCAGGACCAGCCTGGCGTTCCAGACACTGGCAGGTGGGTTCTAACCCTGTGTCTGCCGGGATGCCTGGTACAGATGTAGGAAAGACGTGAGGGTTCAAAGCTGACAGAGAGGATTCCAGAGAGAATCCTGGAGACGTCTTTGGTGCAAGGAGGTGGTTTTATTAAAGCACGGGACAGGCCCGGGGGCAGGAAGAGCTAAGGAGGGGCCCATGATATACACTCAGGGAGGAGCTTAGGAATAGCCAAAGCCTCTAAGGAACTTTGGAAGCAAGGTTTCCAGGACCTTGAGAGGACTAGCTATTGTGGGACGGGAGGGGAAGGTCATTTATTGATGTCTAGTAAAACCTTAGCCTGAGATCCTGTAGATGTATATTCACGGGTCGTACGCTTGGGGGATGATGGCCAACACGTATCTTGAAAGGTAGAGATAAAGGAGGTTTCCACAGGAATTTTTATATGTTAAAGCAGACTTCAGGCTCCTGGGGGTCGGCCTAAGATTGCCCGTTGCCCTCAGCAACGTAGGACCATGCAGGCGGTTGAGCCCCTGGTGGAAGGTCCCTCTGCCTGTTTCAAGGACTTGTCAGTGGGCTGTAGGCAGTGAGGAAATTTAATAATTTTTCTTCTGCCTTTGTTTCCACCTCAGTATGACTAGTCACTTAACCTAGCAGGGCCTTAACATGTCTTCCGTAACGCGATGGGTTGGGCTCGTTGACCTCTAAGTGATCATTAAGGTTCTTCTGCCCCTCAGTCACCTGTTAGAATCCTAAGGTTCCAACACGGAAGCCTAACGTGTTCGTACCTTACGTGCAGTTTCCTGTGTGCGCATCATCGGGGTATTTTATGTCCGTATTTCCCTTGCGGAGCTCATAGTCTCTGTGGACGGGAGAACGGGTTCCACTAGGGTTTCCACCCCGCTCTGCGTCCTAGGTCAGTCCCACGTTCTACAGGCTTGGGCTCTCTTTTGCAGAAGGAGTTGAAGGAGACCTAAGAAGCCAAGTGCCAGAGTGGCCGGGGCTGTGGACTCCGGGTTGGAAGGGTCATGGGTTTTGGGTCATGATGTGCTGCCAAATGATTGTGTCATCATTTTCTAGTCCTTGGTTTCCTTAGCTATGCGGCGAAAAGATCTGGCTGGATCTTGCTGAAGTCACCTTGGTGGCCTACCACTCCATGATTTACTTTATTAACTACGGCGCTGGCTAACCTTCCCTGGTGTCCTTTCGTGTCTCTCACCCAGAGTTCTTGTGCCGTGGCACGTGAAATGCATTGGGGACATTTAATCAGCGAATATTAAGGCATTTTGCTTGCCAACTCCTGCAATGTGTTATTTTCACTTTTGTATTAACCCTAGAAGGCACTTCTTCCTCCTGTATTTTATCAGTACAGAAATTGAGTCTTAGGGAATCGAAGCAACTTGCCCGCAAATCGCCAGGGCTCTTGGGTGGCAGAGGCGTGGTTCAGATGCCAGTCTCCCTGACTCAGGCATCCCTCAGCGCCTCCTCGCCCCCCAGCACTGTGCCTCACGATTTACTGAAGACCAGCATGGCATAATGGAAGGGGCATGGGTCTTGGAAACCAGCAGACGTGGGTTGGAGATGCAGGCCTGCCGCTGAGCCCGTGACCTCTAGTGGACGATTTCATGTCTTTCAGATGCCCTCTCCCTGTCCGTAGCTCAAAGTTAATAATACCCTTCACCGAATGATGACATTAGGAGGATAAAATGGAAACACATACAAGTTGTCTTAATACGTTTTGGGGGCACGCAGCGGGCATTCGGTAGTGGGAGCTGTTTTTATTTCCTGCGCATTCATACATGATTATATGAATATTAGACGTCTTTTTTTTTCCCTCACACTCACTATATATGCTGTACTCACTTAGGGTTACTGGTGGTTAAAAATCAACATAATGTCCAGTCTCTAGTTTGTGAGAGCTTATGGTTTGGTAACCTATAAAGTGCAAATTCTTGAGGATAGTTATTTTCATATCCATTTTACAGCTTGGAAATTGATCTCTTGAGGTCAAGTGACTGTCTTAAGTTATCACCTGTTGCATTTAGTTAATCGTTTACAGGCTCCATGAATTATACTTAGTCCCAAACTTTACAACCTTTGCACATGTATTTCCCATTTATGTGAAAGAAATGCGACAATGAGGTTGCCTTCCATGTGTCTGTTGGAGAATCCAGGAGGAAGCATCCCATTCCAAGAGAAATACCCTCCCTGCCAGTTCTCTCTTCCCCCTTTTATTAAATCTGGTTCTTGTGGATTACCCGGGGATTTGCTTACATGATGGTTACGAGGTGACATCAGACTCCTCAAATTCTGCTCTTCTTTGTTTGAAGGCTTTAGTATCTTTCAAGCATCAACACTGGAAATTTTGAAGTGCCGTAAGAAACGCTTCAAAATCTAAAGGTTGAGCTTTGCCTCTTAGATCTAAAACAACAAAATGCTCCATCTTGCACCTCCTGTGTTGAAAATGTTTTCACTCCTATTTTTTAAACTTGTTTACTCTACAGCTCTGTCTCGTTCTTCTGACCCCGGCCTCTGAGAGATCTCCGCCAGTGGTGAAGCCTACCATTTTGAGTCAATATTAGTGATTTATCTCCAACGTTTCAGTGTCGATGGACCAAATTCATTTACACTATTTTTACTTACAGTATTTGGTGTGACTCCAGATTGCTTAAGGTTTCTTTTATGCTTTTTTGTTCCACTTTTCTCTGTAAATTGTGCTTTTACCATACAGACAGTAAAACGAATGGAAACCAAGGAGCCACTTTTCTCCTTATGAAGAAAATAACTGAGTTTTCTAGGCTGGCCAAGCCGGATCCACCCTGCCAGCACTTCCCAAGTCAGCGTAAGATTCACCCTGGACAGGGACTGTCCTCTCTTTTGTCTTGCAAAATAAGACTCGGCTTTCCACTTGCCAGATTTTGGCTGCACGCTGATTCTCATTAAAATGAACTCTGGGCAGCGATCTAAATGCCTTTGACCTAGGTTTGATAATGTCAGTCAGTTTGATTTTCTTGAGATTGGGGAGCCGTCCTTTTAGAATGAAAAAATTTGTCTTGAAGATTTTCACTAATAGGATTTTACCTGTGGTAATTATATAAAGCGAAATGATCAAAAAGATAGGAAGTAATTAGTCAGATAAGAAAGCTGAATTATGTCCTTGATGCTCCAATGACACAGACACTTAGTTTTATTAAAATGGATTTAAACCTTCCCTAGGCCCTTATGTATCTCCAACTAGAATTTTATCTCCAGATAGAGTTGGTTCACACACAGGTCACGTGGTAAACATGCCCCCACCACTCCTCTGGGGAAGGAACTTAAGTAATGTGACCATTCCGTACACTGCAATTTTCCAGTATTTTGGGGGGTACCTGTTGTGTCTCAAATCTTGTGCCCTTACAGCCCCTACAGAAACCCTAGGGATGGTGATTGACAACCTTCCCTCTATTCCAATGAGGAAAGTTAATTTAGAGAGGTAACATTATTCACTTAAAAGCACCCTCCTGGCGCTTTCCTCCAGGGATGGCGCAGCAGTTTGGCGCCTGCCTTTGGCCCAGGTCATGATCCTGGAGACCCGGGATCGAATCCCACGCCGGGCTCCCGGTGCATGGAGCCTGCTTCTCCCTCTGCCTGTGTCTCTGCCTCTCTCTCTCTCTCTCTCTCTCTCTGTGTGTGTGGTGTGTGACTATCATAAATAAATAAAAAATTAAAAAAAAAAAAGGGGATCCCTGGGTGGCTCAGCGGTTTAGTGCCTGCCTTTGGCCCAGGGCGTAATCCTGGGGTCCCAGGATCAAGTCCCACATCAGGCTCCCTGCATGGAGCCTGCTTCTCCCTCTTCCTGTGTCTCTGCCTCTCTCTCTGTGTCTCTCATGAATCAATCAATCAATCAATCAATCAATCAATCTTTAAAACCAGGTAAAGGTTAGGTTTTACACCTCCCCCTCTTACCCACCAATATATTATATCACTGATCTACCGTTACCATGTATAAAAGCTCTGAATTAGAACAACTCAGGTCTGTCACACTGATGCTTACTCTCTGTGTGCAGTGACTTCCCCCTAAACCCTTGCCCTCTACCTTCCTCCTCAAACATGGGCCTCAGAAAATGAACTCCAGTGTATGTAACATTGCGTCTGTGAGAAACACGCCTGTGGTTTAATGTCGTCAAAGAGTCAGTTAATTCCAAAAGGGAATTACTGTGTATGAAGGGCTCCGTCTTGGGTGTAAAGTGTATGTGGTCTGTGGGCCTCCTAGATCCAAGCATCGGTTTGTCTGTTGAGGACATCATCGTCTCTTGTACGTCTGTTAGAACGCTTTGTTTCATTAGCGGCCAAAGGAATCGATCTTCATAATATCTCTTTATGCTTTTTGGAAAAAAAATTACTTACCAGTTATTTTTGGTAAACCTTGGAGACAGTTAACTACTGGCGAGGTTGTTTTTTTTTTTTTTTTTTCCCTTTTTAGTTTATATATTCTTCACTCTTCTTTCTAGGTTGGTATAATTCTTCATTATTCCACTCTTGCTACCGTACTGTGGGTGGGAGTGACAGCTCGAAATATCTATAAACAAGTCACTAAAAAGGCTAAGCGATGCCAGGATCCTGATGAACTGCCACCCCCGCCAAGACCGATGCTCAGGTACCTGTTATCTCTGTTTACTATATTACGCTAAATGTTCATTAAACTGTTCCGTTGAAGCTGTTTTAAACAGAAGCATGCTGAGTAGGTTTCAGAGAATACAGGGTGGACTTGTCAGCTGGGCTTCCGGGTTTGAGTGCCGGCTGCGTGGCCTTCCAGCTGGGAGCCTGCGTGAAGTGTTGTGGCCCCTCCAGGCCTCCCCCCGCCCACCCTCATCTATAAAGTGGGAATAAGTGAGTGTCTGCAGGTGGGACGGGCCATCTAACAGGCTCTAAGACAATGTTAGCTGTTTTTATTTCCTTGGGACCATGTCAGAGATTTTTAATCTCCTTAAATATGGTTCAATTGAATCATTCTCTGCGAAAGACCACGCAGAGTTACGCAGGGTGTTGGGAGTTAACACCCTTCTTCTCAATTATAATAAAAAATAATGGGTTTTCATGGTGGAGGAGTAAAAGTTGACCAGTGGTGACTGAGCGTATTGGAGACTGGCTGTGCACCAGGCCCTGGGCCGGGCACTGAAGCTGTCCTGCCTTTGAGGAGTTTCCAGTCGGCCCGAGGAGACCATGAAGGACCAACTGCAGGTGGTACAAGAGCCGTGGTGGGGACGTTCTTTTGAAAGTACAAACAGAGGTGCCGTTAATTTGGTGGGATGGCAGGTGTCAGGAAGTACTGACCATTAGTGATGAACCGTCGTTCGTGATGAGGGCAGAGGGGACGGGTGACCCCGCGGATACAGGATGATGTGGGGTGCTGAGCGAACCTGGAGAAATGCACTTTGGCCGGAACCTACAGCATATGGTGGAAAGTGACGAATTCAGGGTGACGGCTCTGCGACAGGCGTCTGGGAGCCATGGTAAGATGGGGGCAGCCGTTGACGTCCACTGTGACCTAAGGGAATGGCCCGACTAGGTAGCCTTATAGAAGGACAGGCTTCCATTAGCACGGGGTAGGAATTGGAGAGCCTGGGGCTAAGGGGTTCAGCTGAGGTCGTCCGGGTGGTCCCAGGAGTCCTGAAGCCAGGACCTTTGGGAACCTGGTGCCGGGCAGGGAGGGCGTGCTGGGCGTTTTGCAGACAGCGGGGGGACGTGCTCACGTGTGGTCAGTGAAGCAGTGACGACGAGCCAGCTGCCCCAGGGAGAAGTCTCTTAAAAGCATGATCCTGGGGCCATGTTCACATTTCATAGATGGGCCATAGCACGTAAAGGGAAGAACTGAAAGAACACCGAGAACATGGAAGGGCCAGGGGGCGAGTGGTCCCGTGGACCCTGACGGGCAGCAGGAGCGCTCGGCCACGGAGCCCCATTACAGGATGCGATCGACTCTTAGGTCACTGGCCTGAAAAGAACTGAGAGACGGGGGTTGATGAAGAGATTTAGGGACCCCAACACCCTTCCTGTTAGGTTTTGAGAGAGGGAAAAACAAGCACCAAGTTCAAGGCGTGAAGTCCTGAGTATGCCTGTGTCCAGCCAGCTCAGGATCCGGGCGCAGGTGCGGAGGAAAGGTGTGACCGGCCAGGCCCAGCGGCCCTGCTTCCTGTCATCACAGAGCTCACAGAGCTCCGGCCACGAAGTCTCTCTTTGTAGGACCCCCCACCCCCACCCCCACCGCCACCCTGTCTCCCTCCGTTCTTAGGGCACCGTCATCTTCCCTGCTGTCCCCAGTGGGCCCCCGGGACGGGGTCCGGAAGGCCTGAGCGCCCGCGGTCGGGGCGTCCCAGAAGGCCCAGGCCTAGCCACGCCGTGCACAGTTCCCGCCCTCGCAGGTTTTGTCTGGCCTGTGGCACAGCGGGACCCTAAGGGCCGGATGGGATCCAAGGAAGCCAGTTGGTTCCTTGGGAAAGGAGGAGCGCAGGCCCGGGATCGCAGCCTGCAGTGGCCCGGCCTGCCCACAGGGTGGCGGGAGCCGACCAGCTTTCCTGAAGCCGCCGCCGCCGCCGGGCAGCTCCGGGCAGCTCGCTGGAGCCGAAAGGCCGAGAAAGGCCGAGCCAACAGTCGGAGCGTTTTCAAAAAGTCGCTCTGGGGGATCCCGGGTGGCTCAGCGGTGTGCTCAGGGCCTGATGCTGGAGTCCCGGGAATCCCGGATCGAGTCCCACGTCGGGCTGCCCGCAGGGAGCCTGCTTCCCCTCTGCCTGGGTCTCTGCCTCTCTGTGTGTCTCATAAATAAATAAGTAAAATCGTTTAAAAAATCAAAAAAAAAAAAAAGTTACTCTTAACAGAGCTGCCCCCAAAAGAGACTCTCCGGGTTGTTCTTGGAGTAGAAAATAATAGCCAGTCCCCAGGGAGTGACGCTGGGAGGGGTGTCCCGGATGCCTGGGTGCTGAGCTGACCTCTGCCTTGTGCCTCCGTCCAGGTTTTACCTGATTGGCGGCGGCATCCCGGTCATAGTGTGCGGCATCACGGCGGCGGCCAACGTCAGGAATTACGGCAGCCGGCTGAGCGCGCCCTAGTGAGTGTCCCTGCTCTCTGCAGCCCCGGCCCCCGGTCCCCGGGTCCCCCCCTCCCCCCCATGCTGGCCCTCGGTGCTTTGCCGGCCCGGGCCTCCCGCGGTCCCTGGAGCAGGGGATGGCGCGCCGCCCCTCAGCCGCTGTGCCCTTCGCTCTTGTAGTTGCTGGATGGCCTGGGAGCCCTCCCTGGGAGCCTTCTACGGGCCCGCCGGCTTCATCACCTTCGTCAACTGCATGTACTTCCTGAGCATATTCATCCAGTTGAGGAGGCACCCCGAGCGCAGGTACGAGCTCAAGGAGCCCCCGGAGGAGCAGCAGCGGCTGGCGGCCGGCGACAGCGGCGAGGGCAGCCGCCCGGAGGCCCTGGGCCTGCCGCTGGCCTCCACCTCCACGGCGGCCTTGGAGAACGAGCACACCTTCCGCGCGCAGCTGCTGGGCGCCAGCCTCACCCTGCTGTCCTACGTGGCCCTGTGGGTGTTCGGGGCCCTGGCCGTTTCCTCCGATTACCCCCTGGACCTGGTCTTCAGCTGCTTCTTCGGGGCCGCGTGCCTGAGCTTCGGCGCCTTCGTCGTGGTCCACCACTGTGTCAACAGGGAGGACGTGAGGCTGGCGTGGATCGCGACCTGCTGCCCCGGCCGGGGCGCCTACTCCGTGCAGGTGGACGTGCAGCCCCCCAACCCCGGGGGCCCGAACGGAGAGGCCCCCAAGTGTGCCCACAGCAGCGCGGAGTCCTCGTGCACCAACAAGAGCACGTCGAGCTTCAAAAACTCCTCCCAGGGCTGCAAGCTGACCAACCTGCAGGCCGCCGCGGCCCAGTGCCACGCCGCCGCCGCCGCGCCCGGGAGCCCCGCGCCGCAGCTCGAGAACAGTCTGACGGAGCACTCGGTGGACAACGACCTCAAGATGCACGTGGCGCCCTTGGAGGCGCAGTTTCGAACCAACGGGCACCCGAGCCGCCACCACAAGAACAGAAGCAAAGGGCACCGGGCCAGCCGGCTCACGGTCCTGAGGGAGTACGCCTACGACGTGCCCACGAGCGTGGAGGGCAGCGTGCAGAACGGCCCGGCCGCGCGGGGCCGCAGGGCCCACCTGGCCCACCTGGCCCACCTGGCCCACCGCGCCCGGCAGCACGGCGCGGCCCAGCAGGACAGCAGCGATGGCTGCGGCCCGCCGCCCCGCAGCAGCAGAGACTGCGAGAGGCCCTGGCCCGGCGGCAGGAGGGACGCGGGCGGGAAGGCGGGCGCAGGCCAGCTCGACGGCCAGCACAAGTCCTACGGCCTGAACCTGGCCGTCCCCAACGGCCCCGGCAGGGGCCGCGCGCACGAGGGCCCCGCGCTGCCCCCCGACGGCCCCGGCAGCGTCAGCACCGGCCTGTGGAAGCACGAAACGGCCGTGTAGCGCGGGCCCAGGCCGAGGGGTGCACCCCAACCGTGACCCTCACATTCCTTCCCTGCTTACGGCCGCCGCGGGGATTCGAAGCCTTCGGGGTAAACCTCTGAGCTTGGGATTTTACGTTATTTTATACCCTCCGGTTGTTGCTTTTTGATGGATTTCAAACCAACACACACACACGAACCCTCCAAACCGTCGTTTTCCTTGTCAAAGCACCACCAGGACTTGGAGAAGCTGCAGTGTCGTTTTTCTGGGAGATCTGTTCTATCAACTTAACACTTCAGGCTTGTATTTAATACAATAAATAGGTGTTTGTCATTGTGTGTCAGTCTTACGTTTTTATACCTCACAATAGGAGCGTGCGCTTCTGTTTTAATCGTGTCTGTACAAAGTGAGGGTATCTTAATGAGAATTACACATGAATCAGCTACCAGACTTTCACGGAATTAACTCCACTGATTATGGCCTGTGTAGATCAAAGCACTTCCGGATGGATGTATTTTATAAATACAGTTTTGAAGGCTGTAAGGTTTATTTTAAAAGATTTCATGGAATGTTGTATTGTTTTGTTTTGTTTTTTTAATGGAAATGTCTTCAAAGCTCTTTCTAAATTGCATTACTTTCCCATATCACTTTGGTCCTGTTGATATTGTCCTGTCACTTTTGTGGCTTTTCAGCGATTTATATTTCGGCTTAAATTTCTTGTTCTTTTTCTCCCCAGCAGCACGTAAGTTGCTCTTGAACGTAAATGAAGAGCCACCAAATGAGTAAGACTCACACTGACTTGCTCTGAGTTCTTCACTGTTGGCTCTTCCGTCACCTGCGACTTTGTTCTCAGATAAAGTTCTGCAGGTTCGTGCTGAAGGATTGATCTTTGAATTCCATTCTGAGGGCAACAGCTGCTGTGATCCAGCTGTTCCCACCGGTCGTTGATGCACAAGTCGTTGATTGAGTCGATTGGAATTGAGAAAACAAGTCTAGTTTTACACTGATCTCTGTGGTTTCCACTTCAGAACAATCCCAGACCAAAGAGTCCTCCGGTTTCATCTAGGTGTACATTGGACTATAGCTGCTTCATAGGCTATTTTACTTATTTGTAGCACTTACTAAAAAAAAGCTATGTCTGAGGGGATGTTCAATATACATTTGTAGTTGAATCAGTGAGGTTTTTTTTTTTTTTTCCAGTTTTCTAATTAGATAGGTACATTCCTCATTAAATATATGAAGCCAGTTGGTCAGAGATATTTATCATTTTAATGTCAGCCTTAATAGAATATCTAATGTCCCAAGCCTGCTGCACCATCCCAGCTTACGCTAAGCAGAATTATGTGTTAGGGGAAAAAAATAAACCACATGGTCAAAAAGTTTTTGAAAGAGTACACAACCATTGGAGTATTTCCAATTCATGTAAACATTATAAAGTCTTGTGTTTATTTAAAACAAAAAAGAAAAAACCTTAACTTAACCCTCCCTGGTCCCTAGTCTCACTGGAGTCCATTCCTAGAACTCTGTTGTGTTTTGCTTTTTAAAGTCATTTAATGTGTTGCATTTTTAAAAACAATGTTAATTCCAATATAGCTCCCGTGCAGTGTCATATTAGTTTATGTTAGCGTACATTGCATTACTCAGCACACGTCACGACAAGTACTGTTCTTAGTCCCCTCCACTCTCCCGCCCACCTCCCGTGTGGAAACCATCGGTGTGTTCTCTAGAGGTAAGTCTGTTTTTTGGTTTGTCGGGTTTTTTTCCTCTTTGTTCACTTGTTTTGTTGCTTAAATTCCACAAACGAGTTTGACATCCCATGATATTTGTCTTTCTCTGACTGACTCCACTAGCATTATACGCCCTAGACCCATCCATGTTGTTGCAAATGGCAAGATTCCATTGTTTTTTATGGCTGAGTAATAGTCCATTGTGTGTGTGTACGTCCCATTTTTTTTTTAAGATTTTATTTGTTCGTGAGAGAGGCAGAGGGAGAAGCAGGCTCCCTGTGGGGACCCTGATGTGGGACTCGATCCCAAGACCCTAGGATCACACCCTGAGCCAGAGGCAGACGCTCAACCACTGAGCCACACAGGTGCCCCCCATACCACTTCTTTATCCATTCATCTATTGATTGACACTTGGGCTGCTTCCATGATTTGGCTACCGTAAATAATGCTAGAATAAAAATAGGGGTGTGTGTATCTTTTGGAATTAGTGTTTTCATATTCTTTGGGTACATAACCCTGTAGTCGAATTACTGGTTCATAATTCTGTTTTCAATTTTTTGAGGGTCTCCATTACTGTTTCCCGTAGTGGCTACACCAGATTGCATTCCCACCAACAGTGCACAAGTGTTCCTTTCATTCCACAGCCTCACCAATACCAGTTGTTTCTTGTGTTTTTTGACTTTTACCCATCCTGACAGGTGTGAGGTGAATATCTCCTTGTGGTTTTGACTTGCATTCCCCTGGTAAGTGATGTTGAGCATCTTTTCATGTGTCTGTTGGTTATCTGCATATATTTTTTGAAGAAACATCTGTTCAAGTTTTCTGCCCATCTTAATTATATTTTTTTTGTGTGTTGAGTTGTCTCCGTTCTTTATATATTTTGGATGCTACCCTTTAGTGGGTTTATCATCTGCAAATATCTTCTCCCTTTCAGTAGGTTGTCTTTTAGATTTATTGATTGTTTTCTTTGCTGTGCAGAAGCTTTGAATTTTGATGTAGTCCCAGTAGTTTATTTTTCCTTTGTTTCCCTTGCCTGGAGAAATAATCTGGAAAAATATTGCTATGGATGATGTTGGAGAAATTACTGTCCGTGTTCCTTCTAGGATTTTTGTGGTTTCAAGACTCACATATAGGACCTTATTCCATTTTGAGTTTATTTTTGTGCATGGTAAGAAAGTGATCCTGTTTCATTCTTCTGCATGTGACTGTCCAGTTTTCCCAACACCATTTGTTGAAGAGACTGTCTTTTTCCCATTGCATATTCTTGCCTCCTTTGTTGAAGATGAATCAACCATATAATTGTGCGTGGACTTCTGGGCTCTCTATTCCATTCCATTTATCTTTGTGTCTATTTTTGTGCTTGTGCTAGACTGTTTTGATTACTACAGCTTTGTAGTATATCTTGAAATCTGGGACTGTGATACCTCTCCAGTTTCGTTCTTCCTTTCCAAGGTTGCTTTGGCTATTTGGGATCTTTTTTTTTTTAATATTTTTTAAAGTTTATTTATTTATTTATGATAGTCACAGAGAGAGAGAGAGAGAGAGAGAGGCAGAGACACAGGCAGAGGGAGAAGCAGGCTCCATGCACCGGGAGCCCGACGTGGGATTCGATCCCAGGTCTCCAGGATCGCGCCCTGGGCCAAAGGCAGGCGCCAAACCGCTGCGCCACCCAGGGATCCCTATTTGGGATCTTTTGTGGTTCCATACCAATTTTAGGATTCTTTGTTTTAGTTCTGTGGAAAAAACGCTGTTGGTATTTGATAGGGATTGCATTAAATTTATAGATTGCTTTTGAATTTTAACAATATTTGTTCTTCCAATCCATGAGCATAGACTGTCTTTCTGTTTGTGTCATCTTCAATTTCATCAGTGTTTTATAGTTTTCAGGCTACAGATCTTTCGCCTCCTTGGTCAAGTTTATGCCTAGGTATTTTATTACTTTCGGTGCAATTGTAAGTGGAATTATTTAAAATTTCTCTTTCTGCTACCTCATTTTTTAATGTATAGATATGCAGTGGATCTCTGTATATTGATTTTATGTCCTGTGACCTTACTGAATTCATTTATCAGTTCTAGTAGTTTTTAGGATTTTCTTTATATGGTATATGTCATCTGCAAAGAGTGAAAGTCTTACTTCTTTCTTACCAATTTGGATGCCTATTATTTCTTTCTGTTGTCTGATTGCTGTGGCTGTATTGGGTAAAAGTACCATGTTGAATAAAATTGGTGAGAGTGGACATCCTTGTCTTGTTTCTGACCTTAGCGGAAAAGCTCTGTTTTTCCTCATTGAGTATGATGTTAGCTGTGAGTTTTTCATTTATGGACTTTGTTAAGATATGTTCCCTGTAAACCTTTGTTTAGAGGGGTTTTATCATGAATGGATGTTGTACTCTCTCTTGTAATGATCATACAGTTTTTATCCTTTCTCTTGTTGATGTGATTTATCATGTTGAACGCTTCGCGAACATCGAACCATGCTTGCATCTCAGGAATAAATCTCACTTGATCATAGTGAATGATTTTTTTTAATGTATTCTTGGATTTGTTTTGCTAACAATTTGATGAGAATTTTTGCATCTATGTTCGTCAGAGATATTAGCCTGTAGGGCTCTTTTTATGTAATGTCTGTATCTGATTTTGGTATCAGGTTTAATGCTGGCCTCATAGAATGAATTTGGAAGCTTTCCTTCCTCTTTTATTTTTTTGGAAAAGTTTGAGAACAGCTATTGACTCTTTATAAATGTTTGATAGAATTTACCTGTGGAACTGATCTGGCCCTGGGCTTTTGTTTATTGGGAGTATTTTGATTACTGATTCAATGTTATTGCTGGTAATTGGTCTGTTCAAGTTTTGTATTTCTTCCTCGTTCAGTTCTGGTAGGTTTTATGTTTTATCCATTTTTTCTAGGTTGTCCAATTTGTCGGCATATCATTTTTCATTATATTCTCTTATAATCGTTTGTATTTCTGTGGTGGTATTATTTTTCCTCTTTGGTTTCTGATTTTGTTCATTTGAATCCTTTCTTTTCTCTTCTTTTTTTCTTATGATTCTGGCTAAAGATGTATCAATTCTGTTGATCTTTCAAAGAACCAGCTGTGGCTTCATTGTTCTGTTGTGGTTTTTTTGTTTGTTTGTTTGTTTGTTTATATTTCGTTTATTTCTGCTCTGATCTTTATTATGTCTTTCCTTCTTCTGGTTTGGGGTTTTATTTGTTCTTTTTCTAGCTCCTTTAGGTGTAAGTTGAGGTTTTTCTTGCTTCTTGAGGTAGGCCTATAAACTTCTCTCTGTTCCTATAAACTTCCCTCTGTTCCTATGCAGCTTTTACTGCATCCCAAAGATTGTGGACCATTATATTTTCATCTTAATTTGTCTCCATGTATGTTTTGATTTCTTTGATTTCTCAGTTGACCCATTCACTGGTTTGTAGCATGTTACTTAACCTCCATATATTTTTGTGTTCTTTCCAGATTTTTCATTGTGGCTAATTTTTAGTGTCTTAGTGGTTTGGTCAGAAAAGATGCATGGTATGACTTTGATCTTTTTGAATTTGTTGAGACTTGTTTTGTGGCCTAATATGTGACCCATTCTGGAGATACACCAGTATGCACTTG